TAAGTAATATTGATAAATTACAGTTAAAAGCAATTAAACAAATGAGTGAAAGAATGTGTAAAATTGAAAAAGAAAAATCTGATAAATTAATATATAGATTACCGGTTCAAATTTGTAGTTATTCATTATTTTGAATTAATAACATTAAGCCATAATCTTAATGCTATTAATTTTAAAGATAAAAATAAAAGTCATCAATAATAATTTGGTCATCTTCATTGATGACTTTAATAGTTATTTTTTTCACTTGTAATGAAATAAAATTAGCCATATCACTCGCATACACTAATTTAACTTTATGAAGGTCTTTATTAAGAAAATAATAAATATCAAATAAATTAATTGATATTAAAGTTCGATTACACACATGAAACCAACGAGTAAACGAGCTAAATGTAACAAATATATCATATTCAATAAATAATTTTAATGGTTTATTTTTTTGATGTAATTTATCTAACTCACTTAAATTAAAAATATATGATATTCCATTATTAATATTTATATTATCAATTTCAAAATAATGTATGTTATTTAATGTGTAAGATTTATATACTGGTTTATATTTATTAATATATTTTTTAATAATATTACTATTTTTTTATTTTTAATAATCTAACATCACCTAAATTATAAGATAATACATGGTTTTTAATTTCTATTGGTAAATCATAAAATATCATATAATATTAATATATATTTAATTATTTAGTTATTTAATTATTTAATTAGTAATTTTCAAATATTGAGAAAACTTTTTCATAAACATTTTATCAGGGTTCTTTTCTAAAAGGTTAATATATAAAAAACTATGCGGTTCATCAGTGGCAGTCTCATATATTTTATAAATTAGTTTCTTGCTTTCATGTAAATTATCGCTTCTAACAATTGCTGATAATTCATCTTGCAATATTTCTATCTCTTTAAAATTTCTAACTTTATAATAAAACAAATGACTTATATTTACCCTAATAATTGGTGGTACGGTTGATGATTTTTGAAGACTTACAAGTGTTGATATTCCACTATGACGACCTCTACAAAATAAAGAATTTAACAATTTGTTATTTCTTGTTATTGCTGGATTATCAGATACATCATCCAAAATTACCAAAATATTAAATAATTTCTTCGTTCCTTGTTTTTTCTGGTATTCAATTATTTTATTTTGAGTTTCTATAACTCTTTCTAAATCTTCAACATTGAACTCATCCCACCAACACGGTTCTTTATCATTATCTACTTTCAAACCTTCCTTAATGTATTTCTTCACTGGCAACCAAATACTATCCAAATTTACAGATGGAGACCAGATAAAAATTCTTTCAAATGCTCCTCTATAAATATCAAGTATCATTGATACAAGTAAAGTTGATTTTCCACTTCCAGATGGACCGACAATCATAGCTCTCATAGGCAATTTAGGGACGACCTCGTGCTTACTTTGCTTAAAGTCATATTTGATTTCATCAATTGGTTTTACATCAGGCATAATAAAAATAATATTATAAATACTTATAAATAAAAAATATATAATATAATTATATCATAATGACAATAGAATATATAGAGTCTATTAATTTAAGTGAAGTAGATAGTATTCGGAGGATATATAAATTTGGTGATATCTTAGTTCCAGATACTGGCCAACTATATTATGATACGATTTTATTGTTTTTATCTATAATTAAAAATCAAAATATTATAATATCTAAATCATCAATCGAAAACGAGGATAGCCCTAAATTATAATAAATTAGTAAATTTTATGAAAGATTATTCTAATACATATACAAATGAAATGATAAATAGTGTACAAGAAATCATTAATAATAATATTATAGATGTTGATATATCAACTGCAGTAAAACTTACTAAAGAAAATAATTTAAATACAAATTCTATTTAATATTAAGGGAACATCGTTTTATGATATGCTGGTGGCGAATATCATAAAATGGAACAGGTTTTCCATTGCTACAATCAATAAGCATTGAAGCTAATTAGTTTGTATCTCTCTCGCGTGTGCAATGAAAACCCCAAGTGCTGTGCCCCACCAATATTCTATTATGCATGAAAATAATAAGATTAAATAATTTAAATAATTATTTTATCTTATTATTATATGACTGTTATCCATTGCAATTGTTGTAAAACTTATGATGACAAATATTTATTTAAACATCTAAATTCAAAATATCATCAGAAATTTGTAGAATATAGATGGAATAAAGACGATACAATGAAAAAACTTTACAAGAAGAGAAAGGCAGAAATGAAAAATAATTTATCTTATTATTTAATATGAAAAGGAGTTATACAGATTATATTAATATAATAAATGAAATGGAGAATATAGAACGGGTTGTCATAACTGATAATAGATGTAAAAAAATATGTTATTTTATTTTAGAATTAATTAAGTTTTTGATACAATATATTAAAAATATAAATATTAATATAAATGCCAAAAAAGAAAACCAAAAAGAATAAGACAGGTTTAAGTGTTTCTTCAACAGATGAAGATAGCGGAGAAATTGTTAAAGAAACATCAGTATTTGAGATTGCTTGTCCTATGTGCAAAAAGAGGTTAGAACTTAAAAATGAATTAGAAATAAAAAATAATAAATCATGTAAATGTTCATGTATTCCAACAAGTTTCAAAATAAGTAAAAATGATAAGAAAATGAATATTGCTAAAACTAAAGACAGTATCAACTTAGAAACTGATGTCCATAGTATAACTTTTAAATTTGGTAGGCAAGCAACACCAGCCGATAATAATGAAAACGAAACTCAGGAAACTGTTAAACAAATCATGAAAAATTAGTATTTAAAGAGTAGATTTAACATAATTGCACTTTATAAATATAAATAATTAAGTAAATAAATAAATATCTAATTATTTATATAATCATAATGCCAACTATGAATGGACAAGACCATAGAATTATAACTTTTGACAATGAAGAAATTAAAGACCTATTCGATGGTGATAAAAACTTTGCTAGACAATTGAGTATAGAATATTTTTATTGGTTAGATGCTAAATTTAATAATAAATATTTTATGAAAGGTATAACTAAACCGGATAAATTTGATAAAATGTTGAAGTTTTTTGAAATTACAGGTAACGATGAAGGTTTAATAAAATTGAAAAATAAAATTGATGAAAGACTCTTAGAATATAATTTATTTACCTCTATAACATTAAATTATTCAGGTAAATTGTATAATTAAATAGATAATTATCTAAATAAATATATAGTAATGTCTGAAAATGAGAATTATACTATTAATGATTTAATGAAGAAGATAACATTAATTGGTAAAAATATAAAAACCTTAAATGATATGATTAAATCCATTGATGACAAAATGAAACCAGTTGAACGCGAACAACAAAGCAACGAAGAGAAGGAGAAAATCGAAAAGATATTTCAAGCAAAATCAATAGGAAGACCATCGGGCGACTACCCTACAAAGCAAAAGAAATACTGTGATATGTTGAATACAGGAAAAATCAAACAACCTAAAAGCACCACTTTAGAATTTTATAAAATTACAAAAAATGATGATGGAGTATATGTATTAGAATAATTAATATCTAAATAATTCTAATAAATGAATTTATTAGAATTATTTTCAGGCAGTGGTTCTGTTGGTAAAGTTGCTCGTGACTTAGGTTTTAATGTAATATCATTAGACTTGAAAAACGCTGATATCAACACTGATATTTTGGAGTGGGATTACAAACAGTTTGACAGAAACCATTTTGATTTTATTTGGAGTAGTCCCCCATGCACTGAATACAGCATAGCAAAAACTCAGGGAATTAGGAATATCGAATATGCAAATAGTATTGTCTTAAAAACTATTGAGATTATCAAATATTTCAATCCTAAATATTTTGTAATCGAAAATCCACAAACTGGATTATTAAAAAATCAGGAGTTTATGGATGAGTTTGATTTTAAAGATGTAGATTGCTGTAAGTATGGAATGCCTTACAGAAAACGCACTAGGCTCTGGAATAACATTACAACTTGGAAACCTAGAGAATTATGTAAAAAGGATTGTGGCAACATCAGGAATAATAAACATATTGAAACTGCACAACGGCTTCCATCAGGCACTAAGGAAAATTGGGGAGACAATCCAACAATACATAAACAGGAAGACCTATATAAAATACCTAGTGGTTTGATATTGGAAATTTTGATGGGGATAGATATGGGATAGGCAATTCCACAAGCTTTGTGGAATTATTCCGCGGGCTTCGTGGAACTCATTTTAGGTGGTGTTTTAGTGGGTTTTTGATGCAATTCCGCGGGGCTTTGTGGAAATATTCCACGGGCTTTGTGGAAATATTCCATGGGCTTTGTGGAAATATTCTACGGCCTATTGCAATGATTAAACCCATACTATGATTATCACATGTAAAATATTATATGTTATAATTGTAATATATTTATCGTTTGTAAAGATTGAATTATTATAATTTGCTTATCTCTTTCAAAGTGCGTTGTTTAGACTTGGTATGCTTCTTCATTTTTTCGTGCTTTGGCTGTTTGTTTTTGTTTTGTTTGATACTCTTGTGATATTTTTTGTTGGTATGTTGCTTTGTTTTTTGTTGATGTGTGTTTTTGAGTTTGGGTTCTTTGATGATTTAGAGTGTTGCTGTTTTGTTGGTATGCTTGTTTGAATTATTTAATGTTGTATGCTGTGATTAAATATTTTTGTTGCTGGTTGTGATTATTTATTTTGTTTGCTTGTTGTTCTGGATTTTGTTTTCTGTTTGTTGTGTTGCTGTTGGAGAAAAATAGTAGAAAGAATAATTCTTTGAATTCTCCTTTTACTATTTTTTCCCCCCCCCCCCCCAACACCCCCCCAACACCCCCCCAACACCTCCCCAACACCTCCCCAACCCCCCCCAACACCCCCCCCAACACCCCCGCCAACACCCCCCCACTTCAACCACAGCCCCCTAAACCGCGCAGGCAGAGACAGCGACGGTCTACGAGAGCAAGCCGAGCGCCTCCCGCGCGGACTGGGAGGGGCATGGTGGATGCGCCACGTGTCCGGTGGGGCCGGCATTCCACGTGTCGACAAACAGGGGTCGCAGGCTCGAATCCCCGAATCCCCGTGCCGGAATTGAAAATGAAGAGCGGAAGTGACAGGAAATGAATTGGAAACGAAGGAAAAATGAAGGGGCATGTAGGGATGAAGGGAAATGGAGAGCAACGAAGGGACATGGAGGGAAATTCAAGGCAATTGAACTTGAAAGGGAAACGAAGGGGAAATAAGGGACATCTGGAAATTTGGGGGTAGGTTGAAAGGACGTGAAGGGACGCAATGTCGGCGGGCTGAGCCAGGGTCTCGGGTGCGTTTCGTCTATAGGTTTCTCTCGAGGGTTGGGCCTGCCTTTGAGGTCGCAAAGCGGAAGGGGAAGCCGAACCAGGGCCCTCTAAGCGAGGGGTTCGCGCAGATGTTAGTGGAGAAGGTGCGCGATTCCAAACAAGGATCACAAAGCCGAACAACGGCCCTTACAGATAAGCAGGGTGTGCGCCGAACAATGTCGGCGGACTAGGACACCAAAACTAAAGAAGCCCCTCAAAATTTAATTGTAAGCCGACCTCGCCACGCACAACTATTACGTTTGGTTGCTTGAAAACCTTCGTGGAAGGAGCATTCCTGGTGGCCTTGTCGATGCTGAGTTCGTGGTTGCTCGAGCTCGCACTGTTAACCGAACGGCTCAAAAAATGGGCCATTTTGCTCGCAGATTGCAAATCACATGTCTTAACAACTCTTATTCTCAAGCGCATTTCTTTCATTACAAGCCAGACCTCTTGTTTATGCAATTGCCCAAATCGTTTGGAGGTAGTTTGGGAATGAACCGATGGAAGGTTAGGAGGGAGTTTGGGAATGAACTGGAAGAGGATTTGCTAGGAACAATCACTTGGCTGTGGGTCAAAAATAGGACCCCCAAATGGAAGCTTGGCAAGTGGAAACATGGACCAAAACCTGTGGTCCCCTGGTGGTTTAATTTTGACCCATACCCACTTGGCTCGGTTCGCACTTGGATGCTTTGTGTGTTTTTGGTTGTTCCAACTCCTTCGTTGCCAGAGAGCCAGCTGCGAACTCAGCTGGCTGCTTTTGCAGGACTTTGTGGCGGGCCACGTGCGGCACACGGACAGCGCCAGGCTGCAAGTCCGGGAGTGCTTTTGGGAAGGGTAGGGTGCCAGGGACAGGTAGGGTCCATTTTGCAGATTCAATCTTTACGAAAATCCATATCTTCAGGCAGATGCTTAGAATCAGGAAGAAAACTAAGAGTCCATGTGGAGATACTTCTGCATTGTCTAAGGGTGGTTGTATGAGACGGGATAACATTGGGAAAGTAGCAACCCCGCGACATACTGCGGACTTTAGATATTTTGAGCTGGACCTGTGGACAACACAAAACCCACAGTGAGAAGCTAGTTTCAATGTGTGGGGGGGGGGGGCAACTGCAAGAGCAGTTGGGGCGGGGGGGGGGGGATGGTTGGATGGTTGGGGGGGGGCTGAAGGTTCTTTCGGCTTTTTGGAAGCCACCTGCTTACCCTTCCGGGGGGGGGGGGATTTAAATGAGTCCATTAAAGTGACATCACCCTGTTCAAACCCAAAATGCAAACTGGAGAACCCATCCACAACTTGACATTGCTTGCTTGGCCCATCCATTTTCCTACATGGGTTCAACAAGTAAGAGCCTGAGTCCCTTTCAATTACAGCTTTCAAGGGCTCTACCCTCGACAGAAGATACCCCGCTCGAAATGTTCACTTTCCGGGACACGCAAATGGTTTTTGGATGTTCCCTCCAGAAACCCCGGAATGGTCTGATTCTCGTGTAAGCACCAACAAACTTTCTGGTTTCAACCATGGTTTCTTAGGTGCTGCGAGCAGCGGATTTCGCAACCATTAAAAAAAACGAGGGTAGTGGTTGGCTGTTAGTTTGAGGGAGTGTATCCCCATGGGATTCATATGGTATCCCCGAGGCGCGGGGGGACGTTTTTTGGGACGCCTCCTTCTGCTCGCTTCCCGCGGGCGCGCGAGCGATCTCGTCAGGCGGCTGATCGAAGAGGCCGCAGCGCAGGCGGAGCAGAACCAGAGCCCCGCCCAGGCCCAGGCCGCGCGGGAGTTTTGGGGTAAAAAGAAGAGTCCATACTGTGGATGGACGAAATCCTGCACCACTTTGACACCATGGGAAACCATAATTTGTTGGTATTTACAGGGAATCAATCCATCCCAGGGTTTCTTAGGTGGTGCAGGATTTTGTCCATCCACAGTAGGTGTCCTTTTTGGTCGATTTGGTTGAAACATGGAGGGCGATGTCTGGTTTACCTGGTGGTTCAATCAAGGGCCATCTATTTTCCCCCGAAAAGGACACCTATGGAGGATGGGGTAATGGTATCCCGGATTAATAAGCCCTGGTGGATTAATAGGGGGTGTCCTCTTGTAGTGGGGGATTCAGACCACTTTTGGAGGGAATATCCCCCGAATAATGGGACGGGTTTATTAATCCTGGGTCAACATTATTACGCGAGAAGTCCTCTTAAAGCGGCAGCGTACTTAGGAAGTGGGGAATAAGTAGCATGCTTACCCACTTACCATAGTGAAAAACGTCTCCTAAGTGTGCTTATTAATCGCTTACTCAGTACACTGCCCCTTTAAGTAGCAGATTCCTCCTGAAATTTGCGGAGGATTGCGCAAGTCGGTTGCGTAATGAGTCTTCCTAGTGGTTTGGCCAACCGTCCGTTTCCTTTGTGGCTTGGTTTCCACAAGCAGAACACGCATGAATGCGGCACCTGACAACCAAACCACACTGCTCCATTTTGATAAGGGGCTCACCCCCCAAACTGCCCCAACCCCTCCAAACAACTGGCCATGGGTCAACAGCCCGTACCCCCAGTGACCACCAACTAAAATAGGTTCTAAAATGGGTTCCCAGACCCACAGCCAACCAGCAAACTTTTGGGTAGGTTCAAGTCTTTTTGGGGGTAGCCCAAAAGTGGGGCGCTGGCGATGGAAGGCCGCCAGGGCGCTTGCGACGGAGGCGGAGCAATTGATCCAGCAGGCTGGGGCGGGGTATGATGACCACTTGGAGTCGATGTTGGTATCTCGGCCAGCCATCTTGTTCCTTAGGTTTTTGGCCTTTTGGCGTGGTTTGTTTGTGGGGGTTTCCATTTCACCCACCAAACGTTGAACTTCCTGTTTTTTTTTTTTTGGCCGGGGGGGGGGGGTGGTCTGAGGACAGCCCAGATAGGGTAGGATGGGGGTGGGGAGCATGCTGGCAACTTGTTTGTGCTGGGGACGTTTGTTTTTTTGTGCAAGGGCTTGGTTGCAACATAGCCTCTATGTGGCCATGTTTTTCCTGCGGCGCCCGCTTGCACATTGCCCACGTTGCGCATACAGATGCGTGGGGTGTGATGCTTGGGCCATTTGAACCGGGCTGCGGATCTCACTTCCCCTGTTTTGGGGAGATCATTTGAGCGTCAAATAAACTTGGACTCCTGTTCCGCTCTTGCACTGAGCTCACTGATCCTAGGGATGTCAAGGTCAGAAACGGGGGATGGTTTCCTTAAACATATCGCTTAGGGACACATGGAGCCAGTTGCTCGGAAGTAGCACCGTTGCTGGTTTGGATCTTCAGACATTTCTCCTTCATGGGAAGTGGGAACCAATCTACATGAAGCTGCAAGCGGTGGTACCCAAAGAACTGCCCAACGAGCGGTTTTCTGCTGGAACGAAAAACGGTGTCAGTTGGCATCCAGGGCGAAAAGGGACCGTCCTTGGGATCCTTGGATTGTGAAGCGGAGGCGTTTGTGGAGCAGGCGGCCGGCGCAGGCGCGTGAGAGCACTTCATGGCCCATGTGTTGGGTTACAGACGGTTGCGATGCCTGGCGGACCTACTGTGGATGGACGAAATCCTGCACCATGTTGAAACCATGGGAAACCATACTTTGTTGGTATTTAAATCATCAGAAACCAGGGTTTCTTAGGTGGTGCCTAAGATAATTTTGCCCATCCACAGTAGGGATGAAGACATGAGCAGGGTTTCACGAGCACCAGGCACAAAACCCGAGGGCAGGAGAGCCAGCCCCTGGCAACTCTTGAAGGTTCAACTCAAACCGACCAAAACCTTGAGCATGTTTTTGCTGCAACAAGCACATCGATGGAATCGGCTACCAGGAGTGGTCAAATGTTAAGTACTTGGTGTGGCTTTAAAACACACCATTTTGGCAGGTCTGATTCCTAAAACAAGACACCCAACTCCAGCTTTTGTCCTTTCAAAGGATTTTGGCTGGCCCTCGTGGCTCTGAGTTTTTCATGGTTGCAACGCCCTCGAACCTGGTTTGGCTGGTGTGCAACTTCCCCCCCCCACACTCGCGTTGGCTTTTGAATGGCTCGTCCAAGGCGATACTTGCATTCCTCAAATGGACCTACCCCACCTGTAAGCCGCCCACCCACACAATACATACGTACATGCAGGCATAAATATGTAAATGTTTAGTACTGTGGATACGTACCTCAACGTTTCCATTCAGGCTATTCCTAAGAAACCATGGAATGATGTACCCAACAAATCCCCACAAACAATGGTTCCCATGGTTGCTGAGGTGGTGCGAAATGGATTTCGACCTTCCACAGTAGGACCTTAGGAGACTTGCTGGTGCTCAGCAGGGAATCAATAAGTTCCATCCAATTGGTGGCTTCCTTTGTTCGGGGCCAGCCTGGGTTCATTCCATTTCCCATTCCCTATTCAGCACCAGCAAGTGGGTACCATGTTTACAATCTCACGCATTGGCTTTTTCGCCCCCTGGAAAAAAGAAAGCCGAACCTCGGCCTGTCTTTAAACCAGCCACATGTCATCACATGTCCTAACTGCATGTTTGCACTCTTTGCAATTGGTACGACCGGAATCAAACCACAGTCTTTGGCTTGCTCTCATGTTCTGGCGACGCTCTTCTTCTAGTGTGACGGGTCCTTCTTTCGGTCGGCCGACCTTGGCGGGTGCCTCAGGCAGCTTCGTCTACGAGAGCAAGCCCTTGGAGAGCTCCGCCTACGCGCGGCACGGCCAGGAGGGCGTCGCCAGCGACGAGGATGGGGTTACACATCGGACGGGGGGGGGGGTGGGGGGCGGGCCCCAAGATGGTGGGGTTTCCTTGTGGTGTTCCTTTAAAGCCACCGAAAATGGGGTGCCGTCAAGAAAAGACACGGCCTATATACATATATGTATAAATAAATACATTTGTATACATATATATATATATATATGTGCATGCTCCTACTTATGTGTTTATATGCACATGCCTATATTTTAACATAGTGGTCCAAACAAAAGGGGGGGTTTTGGGAGGGGCGCTACCAGCCATTATCTTTTTGCCCTTGTCTTGGGTTTTCCAGTGCTAGGCCCCCCCCCCCCTTCCTCTGCAACCGGTTGGAGGTCCGTGACAACCGTAGGTCTGTATGCGTCAATTTTTTGTTGGACCTGACAAATGGATGGGGTTTCCTTTGGGTTCCCTTTGAAAAGGGTTGAGTGGGTAGGCTCACATTGGGATGTTTCACCAACTGTCGCCTTTTCGCGTTTGTGGGTGTCAGGTCTGCTCTCATTGCAGACCTGGGGCATTCTTTGATTGGTCTTTGGAGGGGCCTTCCTTTGATTTTTCTGGAAGGGAAGGCGCTGGTGTTGGGGACAAACTGGTTGCCAAGAGTTGTTCTTGGACACTGCATGTTGAGGGGTTGTACAAACTTGCTTCTGGTGAGAAACCCCTTTGAACTTTTTTTTTTTGCAGGATGTTAGGGGTCAGTTTGGATGCCGGATGCAGTATTTTTTTTGACCACTTGGGAATGTGTTAAATTGGGGCTCTTTCGGCAGTTTGGAAGTGCTGAGAAGCCAACTGTCAAGACAGGCAACAGTTTTTGCAACATGGTCGCGTGTTTGTGGAGGGTTCCCTCAGAAAAGACAAAGCCATCTACATATATGCTTATTTATGCCATGTATCATTTTTTCGTAGTTCCCTCCTTGCTTGCCCGGTGAGTTGCCATCCACGCAGGTCACCTACATGTGAGTCTTTCTCAAGTGCCTTGAAGGTGTCTGGCGTTGAATAAACGAAACCTCCTTTTCCAGATGGCATCCCCAAGCAGATTCCCAGCAGGTACGCGCTCGTAGTGATTCTTAGCATCACCGCCCAGCAAGGCTTTTACTTGCGTTCGGTGAAATAATCTGCGCAGGCGGGCAGCTTTGGGGCTGTCACCTGGATTCGGCTCCCCATGAGGAGTCGGAGGAGGAGGAGGAGACCAGCGGATGATGCCAAGCAACACTTCGGGGGCCATTTTGAAGAACACTTTTTGGGCGGTCCAGTCAAGCATGATTGGATTGCAGGTCCCAGGTTTCTCGTCTCACCCGCGCCAACTTACAGGCATCTATATGCCTTTGCCAAAGTTGTCCCGGTTTGTGGCTGTAGGCGCTGGCGAGCTCGTCACTTGATGCACTCTTGTTTGCAACCGATTCTTTCTTCCTGGCTTTTGGGCAGACCCCAGGGCCAATCAGCTTTGCTGTGGTGTTTGTTCTCTCTTGTTTGCAGGCCCGGGAAAAGCAAACCGGCGGTGCCACGCATTTGAAGGGATAGAAAGGCATTGGCAGGCACAGAGCGGGGCAGCCCCCTACGCCCATTGCAGATTGGAGAGAGCAAGAGCAGGGGGTTGCCCTGCTGATGGTGGTGCAACTCTGCGCGGGGCAAATGCCTTTTGAGCCGGGCAAATGGAGACAACTCCGAGCAGCTCAGACGTTTTCAAGAGTTCTTTCGGAATTTGACCGCAAGCCGATTGAGGCTGTGAGGGCATGTGAAGTGCTTCCATTTGCCTGAGCCCAGTAAAAACCTCCGCCTTTGGAAAACCCGCCCAGTGGAAAAACTCCGCCTGTTGAGGGCCCCCTGATTCTTCCCCACAATTCAAAAGGCCAAGCCCCGGCCTCGCGCGGCCCGCCGGAAGGCGGGGTTTAGTTTTCCGGTGCAGAGCTCGGCAGTTGGGGGACGGCGGCTCGCGGGAGCTTTGGGGGAGGTGTGTGGCACTTCCGGCTCGTGAGATTGGGCGGCCGTGTGGCTCGATCGATACGGCGCGCCAGCCCGACGCCCGAAGCCCGAAGGAAGCCGACGCGCGGGGTTGCTGCCGGTCGGCCAGAAGAAGCCAGGTCCGGCCGAAACCAGTTTTTGGGAAGTTTGGAGAAGCTGGCAGGGCCCCCCCAAATTTCCGAGGCGCAAACCCCCGAGCCTTTCCTTCCGGAGCCTCTGCCAAAGTTTTACCACAAAAAAGACCTCGACGAAAAGGAGAACCGCGCCGTGTGCGCTGCACGCTGGTCCTAAAGGGCTGGGGGTGGTCAGAACTGATGCTGTTCGGCCGAAGGCGCAAATCACTGCTTGCTGAGGCGCCAGCTGTCCGACATGAGTAGATCAGGGATTCGTTTCCTTTATGGCTACTTATTTGGTTGGATCTTTGGGCTTCAACTGTTGGGAAACAATTGAACCCACAAACAGTTGAAGCTTTTTGCAGAGGGGTCAACAGCAACAAAGCTAGGGATTCGTCTTGCATACGGTGCTGTTACAGGGCACTGAAGTTGGAGATGGTTGTGACTGGGACAGGTCTTCTGTATTCATATCCTGGCAGAAACGCCAGTCCCTGTGGCTTAAGGATTTCCAATACCTAAGAAATGCCATGTAATCTGGGTTTTTACATGGTGCGCCTGCAGGTTTTGGCTGAAAACCAGCTGGGGCCCTTTGGGCGGGCGGGGCGGCTGCGGTTTTCGCGCCCCGCGTGCCGGTCCGGTGATAGGCGGAGGGGGGGGATGGGGCAATGGGCGGAGAGGGTTGGGGGGAGGGGAGGGGGAGGGGAGCGGGAGGGGGGAGAAGGTTGGGGGGAGGGGGGTTGGGAGCCCAGCATCTTTTAGTTATGGTGGGCGTCCCATTTAAGGGAGAATCCATCATGTGCAGCCCACCTGGAAAGTATGTTGTAGCGACTGTAGCGCGCATGGGCGCTAGTTCCCTTGCCACGGTTGCAAACCTACTTACAAGGTTATGCGGGAATCTTTCGTATACAGTATGCCCGATGCCCGGGTATCCATGTTGAAGTGCACGGATCTTTTTTACGAGCCTCCAAAGATAGGGGTGGAGCCGGAAAAAGTGTGGGGGAGGGGGGGGGGGGCACTCATTTCTGCCTTGTCTGTTTCCCAAAAAAGGGGGAACCCCTGGAAATGCGTGATTGCCTTTTGGTTTTTGCTTGAGGTGCAAGAATGCTGGAGGCGCGTGCTGGTCAATGGTCGGTCTCGGCGGAACACCTCTACTTCTCGGACTTGTTCATTGTTCGGGTGTGCCCTTTCCCTTTCTTGAGACAACATTTCTGAGGGCTTCTTCTCAGGTATGGTTTGCCAAAGCCATGATTTTTTCGGCCTGCGACTTGGAATGGGGAAGCCATGGCTAGCAGTTTTTGAGTTGCTGCACTCCCACTCTGCCTGGGATGGGGGGGGGTCCTTTTCATCGCTTCTTGAGTTTGAGCTTTTTTGAGGCTCCGGAAACTATGGGAAACTCTGAGGTTGGTGACCCTTTGACACATGCCCTTGTTTGCCATTCCACAAGAAGTATCCGACCTTTTCTCGGGTCGTTCCTCGAGTCATTCGTCACTCCGGGTCACCTTATGCGGGATTTGTGAGAATCACCTCACGCACCCTCCACCCGAAACCAGCTCCAAGCAACGCAGCCGGAGGCCTGTGATGCTGGGGATGCGTGGGGCCAACTCCGACCAACCAAGCAACCAACCGGCCACCTGACAGGGGTTAAGCCCTGCCGGGGCTAGTAAGAAAAACAATGGTTCCCACCCACGTGCTTCGAACAACAGTTGGCACGTCAGAGCTTGACGGCCTTTCTTGCTTTCTTCAAGGGTGCACCACCCATTCAGCCGGCCGCGGTGCATGGGTTTTACCATTGACTTTGGCATTCACTAGAGCCCCGTAACAGGCTTAACGAGCGGCAGGTCTTGGGTTTGTTTGGGGTTCGTTCAGACTTGGCGAAGGGCTGATGTCCATTTAGCATCAACTTTGAACCGGTCTGGGCTGGGTTGTTGGGGTTGCTTTGGGTGTGGTTATGTGAGTTGTGGGCTGGCTTCGGGTTGGTCGTGGGGGCGTTGAGCATGACCTCAGCCAAATTAGCCTCATTGGGCAACCATGCTTTCAGCGCATATCGATTTCCCGGAGGACGGGGCGGTGCCGGTGGGTGGAGAAGGTAGCGCTGAGGGCTGTTTGTTACTTTTTTTTTCCCCCGTTTTTTTTTTTTTTTTTTTTTTTTTTTTGGGGGGGGGGGTGATGCTTGATTCAGATGTTTACGGCCCCGGCACGAGAGGAAGCGAACACACCAACAACGTGAAAGCTAAAAGAGTTTTTAGGTGTATACCCTATTTTCGGGCGGGTGATGAAACCAAAGCTGAGAGGGTGGCGACGGGAGGGAACTATGTTTAGCCAGCGGAAGAACGGAAGCTGCTGTTCTGGACTAAGGCGACGGTGATGCTGTGGGTGTCGACCAACTTCGTTCATGAGGTAGCAAACTTCGAGGTTAGAGTTAGAGGTTAGAGGTGTGGCTTTAATGGACGCAGCTGAAGCGCCTTCGATAGCTTCAGGCACGGGATTCATGCTTTGCGCATGGATGCCCCGCGGGCTTGCCAGCCGACGCATGTGTTCTCGCATGAAAGCCGCTTGCCGCTTGCTGACACCTGGGGTGCGTCGAAGGCAGGCGTTTGGCGCCCCAACCCTGCGAAGAGCGGCTCGTGAGCGGGAGCAAGAGGGACCTAGCTGCGCTGCCGCGTGGTGCTGCGTTTTTCTTCATTGGAGGGGTGTTCCGCGCTTTCGTTTGCGTGCGTGCTTTGCGGGGGGTTAATTTTTCTATTTTGTTTGTAGCGAGCTCAGCCTGCATGCGCTGGGTGGCCCCTGCAACAGGTTCATTGTCGGCCCAGCAGGATGTTGACCCAGGATGAATAAACCCGTTCCTTCCAAAAGTGGTCTGAGTCCCCACCAAAAGGGGACACCCCCCCTATATACTTGGGATGGACGAAATCCTGCACCACTTTGAAACCATGGGAAACCACTGTCTGTTGGTATTCGCCGGAGAATCATCAGAAACTAGGGATTTTAGGTGGTGCGAAGTGGATTTTGTGCATCCACAGTATTCAACCTATTACTCCACCAGGGGTTTGTTAATCCAGGGCGAACCTTAGCCCCCGCAGTTCACCTCGATGCCGGCGGTGCCGCGGCACGTGCGGCTCACCCCGCGGGAGACCAAAGTGGCGCGGGCCACTGAGGAGCAGCCTCTTGGCGGTGGGGTGGCCACGTGAAACGAAACCAAGGTTCTAGTTTGTCATTTCTTCATGGTTGTTGGGAAACATTTTACATTTTTGCTTATTGTGGTTAGTGGGAAATCCACACTTATCTGCTAAAATTTTAAATTTTTGCTCCCCTTCCAACGTCAACCAAGCTTTGGCCATGGTTCAAAACCAATGGGATCCCATTTTGGAATAGGTGCGGCACCAATTTTAATTTATTCTAGGGGGGATTGGGATGTTCACTGAGGCTACGGGGTTTTGACCCAGCCCCATTTTGTTTTGTGCTTGTTGCATGTGGGCATGCATGGTTATGGATTGTGATCGTAGATTGTGGTTGCACGTTTGTGGTTGCAAACTGTGCTGGTCGGTTTTGGCTTGTAGCAGCGGTCGTGGTTCAGCCGCGTCACCCACAAACAGTTCCACAAGTTATTCTCTAGACGGTCCACGTACTAACACGGCGAGCAAACCTGCCATGAATGCAAGCCTGCCATCAGTGCTGGACCCTACCAACTCCGCAAAAACGATTAGGGGGTGGTTTGCGGGGCAGTTTCCTGTTTGACTTCAACAATGTCGGTACCCGGTCAAAGCAGAATGCAAGCAACCCTAGGCAGGTAGGTTTTTTTTTGTTCGCGGCCCCGGCCACATGTTCCTGTTGGTTTTGAAAGGCGATGGTTGGTAAATGGTTAACTGGCCGGGTTTTTCAGGAGCGGCAAACGAGGGAATGACCGTTTACCCACTTACGAGCAAACGCGCAAAATTGAGGTTTCCAAGCGATTCCCAGCCAGCCAAGACCTAGTGACGCCAGAGGAACAACTCGAAGAAAACGAGATCAGTTGCAAACGGCTGTCTTGCCAAGGAACAGTTGGACCTTGAGGCAGAAGCACTGGAAGAATATCAAGGTGGGCCCTGGAGTCACCTGAGAGGGGTGCGGCAGGTACAGGCCAACTTGCTGAGACGGCTTGGCAGGTGCGACCATGGCCTCCGGACCCCGGGAGGCATAGTATGGCTATGTTTTTTTCGGGATCCTTTCAAGAATGACTTCTAATGTAAACGATGTCCACCCAATTGCCTGAGGCTCAGGCTCCCAACCAAAATGTACATCCATGTGTTTGGATTGTGCCTTTTCTTCGATTTTGACAAGATTCCTCTTTGGCAGCAGGTATTGTTTCGAATTTGCCATGCCGGGCGGTTCCCAGGCGTCCCTTAGATTTCAGGTGTTTTATAGCGTTTTGAGGGATTGAGCACATGTCCTGCAACAAGATAAACTTTTAGCGGGGGATTGTGCAGAGCCTTTCAGCAAACATGCAGGTTCCATTTATTCAACTTTGGCCACGAGGTTGATGCGGTCAGATCGTCTTTCTTGGTTCTGTTCATTTTCGCCGGCAGCCTGGACAGCAATCGAGGTCAACCATTTGTTTTTTTTGTTTGTGGGAATTTCCTTCTTGGTGGTTTTCAAGGGAAACAAAACGACAACCCACCGTTTTTGGGGGTCCCCTAAAAAAAGACACACCCATATCAAGGATTTGTGAAATGGGACAGTCCCAGACTACTCGAGTAGTAAATGTAGGTCAAGGGCTTACCTGTTGACTTGGGCTGCAAAACTCCAGGTTTCCTTAGTATCTCGTCAAGGCAACAACTTTGGCATGAGTCCTTCTCATATTTGGGCTGAACAACTTTGGCAGGTTTCCTCATCATCTTAGTCTCTACAAAACGGTTTGGATGTGGATTTTCTGGATCCACCCCTGTACATCAAAAGAGTACTAACAGATTGCAAACAAATAAAAATCTATAGGGAGAATAACCCACAGATTGCCAAAAAGCAGTCCCTGTTTATTAAAAGAGTTCTAACAGGGGAATGAACCCAGGGGATCCCCATAAAAGAAAGCCACCAGTTGGATGGTCTATAAGGGTAATTCCATTACTTATCTCACCGATCGCAAGCCTTCTTCGTTCCATGAAGTGAGTGAGGCGACCGAAGTTTGCTCCTTCCGAACAACTAACTCCTCGGTCAAATCCACACAACCCCCTCCCCTCCCCCCCCCCCAACCTCACCCCCCAAGCCTCCCCCCCCCAAGCCCCCCCGGAAGCGAACAAAAACGCGCCCCCCAGCCGCCCCCCAACGCGAAGAAAAACCGCGCGCCCCCAAACGCGCGCCAGGCGCAGCTGGCCGCGCAGGCGGAGGAGAAGCTGTCGCAGCAGCGGGTGAAGCCCCTGACGCCGGGGCCACGGCTTCGACCGCCTCGACCGCTCGGCTTTCTCGGCGGGCCGAAGCTCGCTCGCGGGCCGAATCTCGCTCGTTCGGCCGGGCCATGGGGGCTGGAGGAGACGATTTGTCTGTTGTTTTTTTGTTTGTTGGTTTGTTGGTTTCTTTCTGTGGGTTGAAGTGGAAAAAAAGGATTGCCTCTGGCTTGGATCTCTGAGCTTCCAACTTTTTTGGACATCTTTTGGGCTTTCCGAATGGAAGCCATGAGGGGTCAGCAGCAGCCAAGCCTGTTTGAATACGTTGCCCCCTTTGTCAGAGGGTTGAGGCAAGAGGTAAGACCAACACATTCCCCAAAACTGAGCATCCCTTTTGATTCTGGCAGCAAAACTTGGTGGACGTGAAGGAGCATGATGTCAAGAGACATCCGTTTGATGTCGCCGTGTTTTGGGTAGCCTTTTTTTGACCCTGGCGTATGTGTTTGTGAGGCTAAGGCTTATTAGGACTCGATGTTCATATTTCGGTTTTGTCAGTTTTTTGTTCTTTCTTTTAGTCTTCTTTTTTTCCCCATCTCCTTATCTTTGTCGTTGTCAGAATCATAATCGCTTTATCCATTATTAATAATATCTTTCCATCATCTTTTGTTTATCTCAATCATCTTATCTTTTCTATAGATCAATCTTCGAAGGCTAATTTCTTGTATCTTCCCTTGTACTCGTTACCTCTTCCACTCTCTATTTTAATATCTTTTCCATGTCCTTTTAACTACTGGACCCCCCCAAAATGGCAGGTTTCCCTTTGGTTCCCCTTTAGAACCACCGACAAAGGGGTACCCCCCGCCCTGAAAAAAGACACGCCCATGTGTTTTTTTGCGGTTCCGTTCCGTCCAACAGCGGTCGGGGACGTGGGCGGCTGAGGCTTATCGGCGGGGGTGAGAAGCCTTACCTGCCGCCTTTGCCGCCGTCCTTGCACCGGGCGGACATCCCCGCCAAGGAGCCGAACGGGAGGGCTGGAGGGGGGGAGGGGTGGAGCTTTGAGCTTTTCTTTCCCGAATGCGTAGCGAAGGGTTCGTGTTGCTGAGGGGGTTTGGGGGTAAGGACGCGTTTGCGAGACATGCTGCGCAGGCGCAGTGTTCCGGCGAGACTGTGTCGAACCATGGTCTAGAGGGCAGATGACAGGATCAGTCCCCAAGCGCCTGTCATTGGAGGTCCATCCAAGGGCACCAAACTACTCATAGTTTCCGCACAAACACGTACGGAGACGTATGGAGTAACGAATTAAGCGAAGGTTTCCGAACATCTAGATGCGGGAAGCAAACAGTTACATAAGTGGGTGCTGTCTCTAGTTCCAGGTGGGCCGACCCTCCAACAAGTCTTCCAGCGCTTGAAAGGTCCTGTCTTTTCTTCAGCTCATGGCTGAGAATCTGGTGATGCCGAGCGACTGGTGGTGCGGGAAGCAAACAGTTCCAACTTTTTGCGGGAGAACAGCGGTTTCCTCTTCCCCTTTTTGGACACCTAGGAGTGGGGCAGTTTTATTGAAATCCACCACTCAATTGCCTCTATGAAAGGGGGAATCCAGTGACCCCTGTCCAAGTCTGGCCTGTTCAGGGGTGCAAAAAACCGGGAAAGTGAAGCGCCCCAACTTGAACCCATCGGATCAGGAAAACGCAAGTTGCCGAATATTTGGCGAGGGGTTTTGAAGAGAATGGCGTTCCGGAGGGCCGATGTAGACTTCTTCGAGGAAACCTCAGGAAACCTTCCTAGAATCTTTCTTGAAGGGGATCTGAGAGCTTCATTCCCCCCTGCGTCGGTTTTCAAGGGAATCTGTCATTACTGATCATGATTTTATTTTGTCTAGGGGGCTTAAGCCTTAGGTCGATTTTGTCACTCCCCATCGAACTGTTTTCATTGAAACATCGCGCGGGCAGGACGTCGAGCAAATTCAGTCCACGTACCACTGGAGGCCCGAGCATGAGCGGGGCTGTCCTTCTTGTCCAGGGGTCGCTGCCAGTGGCTGCCCATGTGCACTTCGAATGGCGAACGCCCTCAAAAATGGCTGGACATAATCCCCATGTAAATCATCTCCGGGTGTCGGATTTTGGTTTTCAGAGCTGGGTGATGGATTGGTCAAAGCGGATCGAATGCAGCCACTGACCCACCAGACCGCGTTTTCACGACTCTTGGCCTCGCTTCGTGGGCCTCCTGGGGCCATTTGGCACTGTTCATCAGGGCACTATCTGACGTGGTTTCCTTTTGCGAGCGCCGCCTTTTTTTTTGGGGGGGGTTTGGTTGGGTTTGGCGTAGTTCAGGAGCATCCAGGAGAGCCATCGCTTTGACGTCCAGGTTGCAATATGCCCAACTCGACTGCTTCAAAGATCCTCATTGAACCTGGGAATCCCTGGATTTACATGTGTGGAAAGCAATCTTCCCGTTGTGTGGTTGGAAGCTACTTGGATGTTTGACCCACTGCTATGGCCAGAGGGGCTTACCCCAAACAACTCATTTACAGCCAAGGTTCCGACCTACGAAGCGGGTCGAACCTCCAAGTGTAACAATTTTGGCCGGGGGACTGGTTGGAGATGCCGTTGCGGCATTTGCCCCCGGCTTGAGGTCCGTTGCCCCCAAATCATAGAGAGCCTCTCAATGATGCCTCATCCAGTGTGGGGGTTGGTTCTTTGACACTGACCTGGGTGCTGGCGGCGACATGCGATTTCTCCGCAACCCCCACCCAACCCCCACCCCCAACCCCCAACCCCACGCCCCCGCCCCCCAACCCCCAGCCCCGCCCCCCCACCCCCCCCCCCACACAAGCAACAAAAACACGAGCCCGCGCAAGGGCGAGGGTCGGTTGAGGCCCTGCCAGATCCGGGAGCACTGCTTCGCCGCGGATGAGCCCGGGCGCACCTTGGGCACCTACGCGCCTTGGAAGCCAACGGGATCTTCAGGTCTTCGAAGGGCCCCCGGGGCTGCTGAGGGCTGGAAGCGTGTTTTTTTTTTTTTTTTTTTTTTTTTTTTGTGGGGGGGTCCTTCATACGGGCTTTCCATCACACCCTCATGGAACAGTTTTTGGGTCAAACAACGCGCCCCGGTCTTCTTTTTTTCCCCGCGTTGTTTTGATTCGTAAACAGCACAAAGCCGGATGATGCTGGCTTCATACGGGCTTTCAATCACACCCTCGGACCAGCTCGTTATTATATTTGCTTGCTTGTTGACTTGTATATTCCCTGTGAGCCTTGATGTAGCCTTGTTTGGCATGACACAGGGGTCCCTTCGAACTTCGGTCTCTTCAAAGGGTTAATCCTCAGGTGGTTGAAAAGCCCTCGTTTGGAAAGCCTGGCAACAGTTGAACGGATCAATCAACTCGTTGATCGGTTGCCCGTCCGTAGGATCTTTCGCTCTTGGTCGGCGGCCGCCGGTGGCTCCCGGACTTCGTTTTGCGAATTTTTCGATCTTGCCTTGGGCTGCACAAGGAGCCGGCCCCTTCATAGCAGTGGCTTTTTCTGTAGGGATCATGGATTCGGATTGGCCAAGCCTCCATTTGAACAGCCCAGTTTTTTTGAGGCTTACTTGTTCTGCTGCTTTTCGACCCGAAGCAGCGACCCTAAGCAAACTATGCATCTACACTTGCAAGAGGTCCCTGCATGTTCAGTTTAAGTTGCTTTTATTTGGTTTGTTTTTCAAGGGAAGCGCTTTCAAAGTAAAATAGTTGTGCATCTGCACTTTTCAGCTCCCTGTTCCTCAGAGAAGGTTCAATGTACATGACTAAATGCGAAGCATCATCTCAAGGGACCGATTGGTGGTTTAGGGGTTTGAGCGCCCGGTTCTCGCGGAGGGCAAATGGGAACCCGCCCCGGACATCCCAGTCGAAACCAGTGGGGGGTATACATAAAATAAATATGAATCCGTATGTAGTATTCATAAATATGCATGCACACCTGCATACATACCTACCTTACCTACCTACCTTACCTACCTAACCTACCTACCTACCTACCTACTTACCTACCTACCTACCTAGGTAGGTCTACCTACCTACCTACCTACCTACCTACCTACCTACCTACCTACCTACCTACCTACCTACCTACCTACCTACCTACCTACCTACCTACCTACCTGCGTATGCATATACTTATACTTATGCATGCACGTATAAATTTGCACGCATACACCTGCATACGCATACATATGCACACATACGTGCATACTTGCTCGCTTGCAATCATCCGTCCATCACTCCATCACTCGATCACTCCATCCATCCGTCCGTCCATCCTTCCATCCATCCGTCCGTCCGTCCGTCATCTATCTATCCATCCATCCATCCGTCCATCCAGGCATTTCTCCATCCGTCCATCCATCCATCCATGCATCCATGCATCCATGCATCCATGCGTCCATGCATCCATGCATCCGTCCATCCATCCATCCATCCATCCACCCACCCATCCACCCATCCATCCATCCATCCATCCATCCATCCATCCATCCATCCATCCATCCATCCATCCATCCATCCAACCATGCACATACATACATACATACGTACGTATGTACGTACATACATACATACATACATACATACATGCATACATACATACATACATAGACACAGGCATACATTCATGCCATGCATGCAGACATAGATGCATGCCTCGAAATATGCATATGTACATGCATGTGCATGCGCACATATGGATGCACATACATGCGCATGCACATGTGCAGATGCAGGTGCAGACGCGCACACGTACACATATGCATTTACGTACATTCATGTGCATGTGCACGTACATGCACACCCACACACACACACATGTATCATATATATGTATATATGTATGTTTCTCTGTATAAACATTTACATCTACAGATATTCACATGTGAAAACATAGGTGGTATCATATTCTTGGCGTAGACTTGCGCCAAGGGGTCCAACGGCAAACCGCTGAGGTGAACACCCTGAGCTTCAACCTCTCCCCGGCCATGCTGCAGGCGATGCCTTTGTGATGGGTTCCAGAGGGTTTCGGGGGTTCCGGGGCGAAAGCCTTGGATTTTTTTGCAGACAAAATGGGGCCGATGGCTCCGTGTGGTTCCGGGGGGGTTCCGGGGGGTTCCGGGGGTTCCGAGGCTGGGGGGGAAATCCAAGGGGGCACAAAAGTATACTTTTGCAGGGCTCCAAAAAGTTTCCGCATTTGGAGGGGCGCACTCAAACACAAGGGGAAGTGGGGCGCGCTTTTTTGTTTTGTTTTCTTTTTTCCCTTTGGGGCATTGTTTAGACGCCATTCTTGCTGCGCCAACTAAATTTAAGGAGTTTCTTCCAGGTGGGTGCTGAAAGAACATAGAGAACCCGCAAAAGATAATTTTTGGAAGGTGGCTTCCAGGTCGATTCCAGAAAGCGAATGGAGGAGCCCGGGAACGCGTGTCCATCTCATCAATGAAGGGTCTCATTTTCTTAGTCTTCGTTTGCTTTGGCCTGGTAGGAAAAAGGCAAGCACGGTTGCCCAGAGAGGTACATGCCTTCGAGTTAGTGGAGATAGAGGTCCAATCCCAAAAGAGATTCCTTCCACAAGGGAGTTTCTGGAGAGATTTTGTTTCGAGCCTTCAGAAACCAGTCTTCCGAGCGGATGTGGATCATTTGATTGAAGGGAACTCCAAGTTGGAAGCCTACCATTTCCTCCGAGACAAGCCCATACATGTCCCAAAAGTCCAGGAGTCCATGCCGGCAAGGCTCTCTGGAAGCAACTCCAAAGAGGGGAGGTGCCTGGTCTCAACGGGGAGCCCCCAAAACAAACCGCAACTTCCACAGGGAGAGCCTGAATTTGGTTCCTGTGTGGTCACATGGCGTCAGGGAATCTGCAGGGGGAGTTGCCCCTCTCAAAACCGATCCAAGCCATGAAGGGTGGGTTGATACCGGGGGTTCTCGAGAATCCTGCGCGCAGCTTGCTCAGGCGAGGAGGTGCGATTTTTTCTCACCACCTCTAATGGGAGCATCACGGGTGCACGCTGCACACCTGTCAAAGACCACTCAACGTGCCCTCGCAGCTCTGAACCCGGAAGCTAACACATCAACCGTACCTGCCTCACACCCCGAAAAGAAGCAACAAACCAAAACACACAGGCCAAGGAGGGCAACCCCCCCAAAAAACAAAAACCAACACTTCCCAGAACCTTCCCCCCCCCCCAACAAAAAAAAAGAAAGAAGAAGGCGCCGTTTCCAAACGCCGAGCCCGGGGACCATTTCCAACGAGCCGCGGCCGCCGCCTGGCTCCTCTTGCGCCATGTGGCGGCTGGCGGCCTTGCCTCTGGCCCTGGCGCTGGACACGGTGGCGCCTCTGCGCGCGGGCGGGGGGGGGGGGTGGCGCCTCTTTGAGGCTGACTGCCCCCCCCCCCACACAAAATAAAATAGAAACAACGAAAACAGGAGGGGAAGGGGGGCGGTTGCGTGCTTTTGAAGGTTGGCTGGGCCCCCCGCCCAAAAAAAAGAGAGAGAAGAGGGGGGGTTCCGATTTCCTTTGGTTTCTTTTGAAGGTTGGAGCCCTGCAAAACCTTCCGGTTGCCCCCCCCCCCCCAAATTTGGCGCTTTTCGGTTTTGGCTTTTTTCTTTTTCTTTGGTTGTTTGTTTTTAGGTTGGACCCCCCTTCGTTTTGAATCCAACTGTAATGAATACTTTCAAAGCGAGACACCCAGAAGACACCATGGTTGATTTTGACCATCGACTTGGCGAGTGGCCCGGCTGCACGCCCCGACTTGCAGAAGGAACCAGAAGGTCTCGTTACCATTTCCAAACCAATGCCACTCAGGTTCCATGACAACAATATCGCAGGTAAGGGAGACGGGCAGTGAGTTCGGCTTTTGTCCTGAGAACCGTGGTCCACGCGTCTTGAAGGCAGCAGCATATGAATCAACGCTGTTTATTAATATGGGGGTGCCCCTGGTTTTAGTGGGGATTCATCACTTTGAGAGGAGAACACCCCACCAGTTAATCAATATGGGGTCAACCTTAGAGACCGCGCTTTCTGCAAGGAGCTGGCCCCGTGAGTGGAACTCCCGCCTTACAGGGTCCCTTTACTTAACCCGACAACCCTGAATGTGTAGGAGCGAGGGAGAATGCGCAGCATTGCCCTAAGATCTTTCCTTAATCTCGTGGGTTTAAGCAACAAGATGTCACGCCAAATGCTTCGATCACATTGTCAGCTTGGCCATGAATCTATGAATGTCAATAGGCGACCACCTTCAAAATGGTTGCGAATTCTGATGTCCACTATTTCGGATCCGGGACCCATGAAACTTCACTCCTTCTTCTTCTCCTTTGAGGGGCTCCTCGGTTTCCGTTTTCGGGCCTGCGAAGCTGCATTTTCATCGGACATTTTGCTTGTCAGCCGCAACCTTTCAGGGGAAACAACGACCTTGACTGCCATTGGGTAACGGATCTTTAGACTGCAGCCTTTTGGAAAATACATGGGTTTTTTCCACTAACCCCCCCCCCAAAAAAAAAAGAGAAGTAAATCAACTTTTTGCAGGGGGTCAAGAGCAACAAAAACGACGTGACTCCTGTCGACTTCTTCTACTTGAGGTGCTGGTGACGCGGCACGGGGAGCGGGAGCGCCTGTGGAAAGATCACCTGACCCAGGCGGAGCAGGCCCGAGCACACCTCTGGGGGCGAGGTTTTCCGGGAAATTCGGAGTTCGGAGGTCGGAGGTGGGTTTCCGAGATGCTGAGCTTGTTTGCTCTGTTCGGATTCATGCTGGAGAACCGTTGGGCTGTTTTTTGTTATTTGTTTTTTGTTAGTTGGTATGATTGTCGGTCGGTCTGTCGGTGGGTCAGTAGGTGTAGGTAGGTTGGGTTGGGTTATGTTTGGTTTGGTTTGGTTCGGTTGGTTAGGTTAGTTTGTATGATTGTCGGTCGGTGGGTCGGTGGGTCAGTAGGTTGGTTGGTTGGGTTAGTTTGGTTTGGTTTGGCTTGGTTGGTTTGATTAGTTTGGTTAGTTTGCATGATTGTCGGTCGGTCCGTCGGTTGGTGGGTTGGTAGGTTGGTTGGTTGGGTTGGTTTGGTCTGGTTTGGTTGGTTTGTTGTTTGTTTGATTGTCGGTCGGTCGGGGTGGGTGGGTGTGTGGGTGGGTTGGTGGGTGGGTGGGTGGGTTGGCTGGTTGGTTGGTTGGTTGGTTGGTTGGTTGGTTGGTTGGTTGGTTGTTTGTTTTCGTTTCACCATGTGTTTCTTCTTCTTTTTTGTTGGCTAGATGGTCAGTTGCAGTTGCTTTGTTGGCTTGTCGTTTCATTCTTTTTTGTTGGCGAGGAGCCGCTAGTTGGAGAACAATCATGGGATGATTTGGTTTAAAAGTACTTCACAGCCCCTTCCAACTGTGGTCCCTTGCCGTAAGCGCTATTCCGAGGAAAGAAAAAAACGAAAACAAACCACCTTCAGCTTTTGAAGCAACAATGTACATGTCAAACAACTCAGCGGCAATCAACTCGTTGCCCCTATTTTGGGTCCCCGTCTCAAACCGCCTTTTTGGCGCGTGGACAGCCCCGCCGTTGCGCTGAGCGCGCCCGCGCCGGCGCCCGAGGAGGACGGGGGCCCGCGCCTGACGGGGCAGGGGGCCGCGGAGCAGCAGGCGCTGGGCCGGGCGCTGCGGCGGAGGTACATGGCCCCGGACTGCGAGGCGGGAGTCCGGGGTTGTTCCCCGCGTTTGCGAAGGTTTTATCTGGAAAGAAGGATCCCTGGAAAAGGTTTCTTGTTTTGGTTTGCTTGAAAAGTCGACATTGGCCGATTGAACTGGGAATGAAGAGAAGGAACGCCAAAAAATAGTGCCCGATCCTCAAGGAGATTCGTCGAACGGATCGGTTTTTGGGTTCGGTGTCCTGAAAGCTAGGGCTTTGCTTGAGGTTTGCACCTGAAGATCCTATTCCCCCGAGAGAATCTGTGAACAGTGGCTGTTTCCGCCATGTCCGGGCTGGACTTGGCAAAATTCTAGCGTTGCACATTTGCCGGACGCATGCTTTGCCATTTGCTTCCACTTGCTATTCGATGTTCCGGGTTTGTCTGGGCTGGTTTCCCACATGGTACCGATCTCGCGCAGACGCATGCTTCTCCGCCTGCTTAGGCAGTCCTTTTCGGCCTTCCTGATTGACACGAGTCGGGGGAAAGGGGGGATGCCTATGTCTAGAGGCCGGTGAAAAGGCAGCGTTATGCTGCCGAACGGGGCAATGGGCTCCCATTTTGGAGATCCTTCACTGCTTGGGGGGGCACAGCCCCCTTTTCATCCAACCAGGGTTTATACTTGGACGGACCCACCGGCATCCAACCTCTCATGTTACCATGGAAACTTGAAAGGGCCCTCAGAGACTGCCAACTTCTTTTTGGCAGCCCAAAAAGGGTACCTCGCAAGAAGACCAGCCTAAGCTCTTGAGCTCGCCTCGCCCTTGGGTTGAGTGATCTTGGGTTCCCAGGAGGCTGGGTTGCGGAACCGCCAGGCCCAGTGTCTGCAAGGCCGCGCGGGGCAGGGCGTCTACGACCCCACGGAGGCTGAAAGTCGGGTCATGCGACGCGGCCACTTGGGAGTAGCCAGGTGGCAACTGGGGTTGGTTCCCATGCAAGTGCGGTTGCAATCCGCTTGCTTGCTGTGGGTTAATTCCCCAAGTGGGCAGGTGGCCTGGAGTGGAGCGTGCAGCAGTTGTTTTGCTCCGGGTTCAGTTTTTTCCCCCCAGCCTAAAGACGCCCTGAAGCGCGGGATCCTTGGAGGGCCGGGACATTCGCAGCATGTGCCCTCCCCGTTTTAAAACTAGCAAGACATCAGGTACCCTCGAAGGACACACCCATGTCGGCTGAAACAAGGCCCTTCTTTGTGTCCCCGACCCCCCCGATCTCGACTCGGCCAGTCGGCAGGTGCGAGCGGAGAGCAGCGGCCTGGCGCGGACGCTGGGCAGTGCCTATGCGCTGCACTCGGGCGTCTCGGATGCGGACCCAGAGCAGCGTTGGTGTGTGTGTGTGTGTGT